GAGACAGAATTTTAGCTCTTGACAGTTTATTCTTGTGTTCAGTTACCAGCAGTTTATATCTATATCTGCCCAGCCTGGAGGGAGGGAGACTGAGATAAATATTTAAACTGTTCTTCTATTTGTTTTCCATCTTCTAGCTTTTGACAATTTTTGTAAGTGCTAAACTAGCATCCTATGTCAAGTTTTATCAGAACAACAAAGACTTCATTGACTCCCTGGGTAAGTTTTCTGACTATTTGTGTGGCTTAAGATATGGAAGCCCCAGAGTGCTTCACTTTGAGCCCATCTGCTGAAGCCAAGGAAATGTAACAGGAGTTTGTAAGAATGGATTAGAGTTTGTAGACTGTAATCTCTGCTGGATCGTAACTGGACCATCTAACTGTGGTTTGTTGCACTAAACCAAGCTGCTTTATGGGTTTGGAAGAGAACTGTGCTTCTACCCAGTGCACTGATACTCTGGGCTAGGCCAGAGATCACAACTTCACTGAGTTGCATAAACCTCCTGATTTTTTTTTTAATGACAAATAACTTTATACAACAGCAAATGCTTCTCCTGAGGAGTGAGCTAAACCATGCAGATAGTGTGTGTTTGTGTGTGTGTGTGTGTGCTGATGCATTAGACCTGGCAAGCCACGCTCTGTCCCAGTTAATTTGTTTCATCACGTGAAGCAATGTGATGGAATGTTAATGTCAGCACCCTCTTTATTTACACACTGTGGAAAAAAGGAGTAGTAATTAACACTTTGACACTCCCCCGTTGATGTGTAATTGACTGTTTCAAAGGAGCACTGGTTCATAAGCTATTGCATGCATTAAAATTACGTTTTTTATATTCCAGCTTTTTAGGACAGGGGTCAGTGACAATGCAGAAATTGCTCAATGATGCAGATTTTTTTATTACTGCATTAAGGTTTTGACATATTGGTAATGAATGAATGTTTCCATAAAAATACGATTTTTTTTTTTTTATAACTTTGATTTTGAAATGACACTTGAGCACTGGCTGAATGCATTTGAGGAAAGGCATAGTTTTGATAAAACAGAGTTTACTGCAGCCTTTTAACACATGCATTATTTTGTTTAATGGAGTGTGATACAATTTTGAGAATAATTACCCTCAAGGGCTTAAAATGGTGGTACTTTGGGTATTAAAATGATGAAGATATCAGTGGGATTTTTGGTGAATAAAATCAGCAGCAAGTTTTTGGTAGCTTGTAAATATGTGTATAGGATAAGTGTGCTTTCTGTCACGTGTACTTGAACATTAGGTGTGCAGACATCTTATGTTTTTTCTCTCTCAGGGGAATATTGTAATTATTTTTGTGTATTGAAATGGCTTCTAGTTATTTGGCCCCAGAAGTATTTGCTGAAAATGCTGTTACACTAACATCTGAATAAATTTATGGAAGATTAACTACTAACATTAATTGTATAATACACAACAGTCATGATTTCTTTTGCTTTGCCTCCCTGTTTCTGTTTCCCTCCGTGAATTCACGGCGTGTGAATTCGAAATTCATCTCGGATTCACATAACCTTCGTCAAACCCTTAAATATCTGTGGAACTGCTTTGAAAGACAGTCTTGTCCTCCACTTATCTCCATTTCTTACCTGCTTTCCGGTGTGCTCAGAGCTTCTGTGTGTTTGAGCCGTGGCCGAGCAGAGACCGGAGGGCAGCACAGATGGGAGCTGAGCGGTTCAGCCGAGCCTTTGGAAAACGAGGGCAGTTTGGTACAGACAATAATAAAGTTATTAGATGAGGCATTCAGAGGTTACCAGTTCCCACATTTTTAACCATGCTTTTTTTTTTTTTTTTTTTTTTTTTTTTTTTTTTTTTTTTTTTTTTTTTTTTTTTTTTTTTTTTTTTTTTTTTTTTTTTTTTTTTTTTTTTTTTTTTTTTTTTTTTTTTTTTTTAAGTGACCAGGCTTTAAAATAAAGAGTATTTAATGATAGGATTTCAGTGGCAGTAGAGCTTCAGCTTCACCTTTCCCAGATCAGGACCAGTTACAACTGGCCCACAAAAGCTCCTACAGGTGGCATCGGTTTGTTACAATTTGTTGTTTTATTAATGCTGACAACTTGGGCCAGCCAGTAGCATTATCTGTGTCAACTGAATCGCCCTAACATGGCCACAGTTAATCTGGTATTATCAGCAGTCTTTTTCGGAAAGTTAATCAGCATTTCATTTGCATTTGTTAATTAGGGTTAATGTGTGCTAATTGATTTTTTGATGCTTGTAGAGTTCCATTAAACCCAGTTAGGTATAGTTGCTGGTGCTCCTTGTTCCTATGAATTATGGTGATCGCATTTTTGTTGAATCGGTGCCAAATAGGGAACCTGCATCATAATTACAGCTAATTAACACAACACGATGCCCTGCACTAATGTGCTTTCCTGTTAGTGTGTATGGGTGTTATAAATTCCAAACCTAAATATTTACTGAAGCAGTGGGGATGTTTATAAGGTCACTCTGGAACAAAACGAGTGACATTCATTTTAAAGAAACTTCCCCTGAGCCTGAGTTGGTACCTCGTGGAACTGGGGATTAAGAAGTGCCTCGTGTCATCTCAGTGTCTTTTGGCCCACCTAGACTTGTTTCCGGGGAAGTGGTCTCTGACTGTGCTTCACTTTTGTAGATAGTACATTTTTACTGAAAATGACTGAGTCCTGGTGAATTCACAACTGAAACAGCTATTTTAGCTAAAGACAAGAAAATGCAGGATTTGATATTTTTACCTCAAAAAAACTGTTGATAAGGAAAGGTGGAATATTTTTTGGCGTGAAATAAAGTTTAAATTGTAGGAAGCGTTTATAGTAAAAATAACACGAAAACCGAGTTATTGATATGAACTGTAATTAATTAAACTGTCAACACTTTTGCTCAGGCTTGTTGCATGAACACAATATGGCAAAAATGAGGCTACTTACTTTCATGGGGATGGCTGTGGAGAACAAAGAAATCTCATTTGACACGATGCAGCAGGAACTTCAGATCGGAGCTGACGATGTCGAAGCGTTTGTCATCGATGGTAAGAACTGCAGCACCACCCTTTTTACACACTGCTCATGCACAACACCTCTTACAGTCTTCTACTGTTGAATATTCAGAAAAATATTAATTTTTCTGTCTTTTTTAAAAGATAAGAGCTGAACAACTTCATGCTTAAAGATGCCTGACCGCTGGGTCTTAAAAAACCAGTGGTTTTCTTCTCGGTGACGGGAACTTGCACCTCATGTGATTCTTTCTAGAACTAATAAATTGTTTGCAGGTTTAATTTGTCGTCTGGTCTTGTTTGCTGTCATTGAAACAGGATGTGTTTGTAGGGGAGAGAAGTTCATAAAAACTGGACAGGATGTTGCTTTAATAAATTGGCACCAAACAATAGGATTCGTGCATGACCTTCATCTTGTTACATGATTTTGCTGTCCTGCCCTACTAGGCTGTTAAAACCAACAGCAAAACTTATTAAGTGAACTGCCCTGATCTCATTTTGAACAGTTTTTTATGAACTTTAATACCTTGGCACTGTCATGAAAATGTTCCTCAAAACAGCATTGTTTGTTGGGGTTTTTTTGCAGCTGTAAAGACAAAGATGGTGTACTGCAAAATAGATCAGACACAGAGGAAAGTAGTTGTCAGGTAAGACTGAATTCCTCGCAGCATTTTGCAGAACTTAGTGTGTTCTAATTATTTCACTTACATTTGTAGAATATTTTTAACCAGGAGCAAGGTATTGTTCCTGTCGGTTGCTGGTAGTTAAATAGTTGCTATTTATCATAATTTTATTAAAGCTCACATTGGATGTGATTAGCTTATTTAATGAAAGAGTCCTGCTTTCCAGCACATTTCATTTAATGACCCGGTGGTGACAAGAATACTAATGACTGTTGTTGCTTTAAATATTTGGGAAGGCGACAGAATTCTCCTAACTGGTAAAGGGGAGCCTTTTCTGTAGAGAAAATAAAAAATTTTCCCATTTGCTTGTGAGAGTGAAGTAAAATGCTGTAAAAGAACAATGAGGTGAGTGTGACATTTAGTAATCATCTTCCAATTTTGTTTTACTCCTCTAGTCACAGCACACATCGGACTTTTGGAAAGCAGCAGTGGCAGCAATTGTATGACACTCTAAACACCTGGAAACAAAATTTGAATCAAGTGAAAAACAGTCTCCTCAGCCTCTCAGACACCTAAGGATTTTTTTTTGGACCTAGTAATATCAGGATAGATAAATTTTATTCAGAACTTTGACAGTTTGTGAAATGTTTCTAAAAAATGTATGCAATTGGTTTAAACAAGCTAAATATTCTAAATTGCAACACGAAAAGAAAAAGGCAATAAAACTACCATGGGAAAATACCTTCTGTGGATTTTCTTACATAATTAGCAGCAACAAACTGGCAGTATTGGTTCTTTTGTTCATGTTTAGGTTTACAGTGTGAGGATCTTTCTTTGCAAGACTTGTGGAGAGGAAGGGAGGGAGGTCCAAAAAATGGTAATTGTAAAGTAAGAGAAAATTTCCCTTGCAAGGGAGGAGAAACCTCTACAGTGACCCAGTTAGAAGTGAAGCTTTATGGAGCCAGGTCTGCTGCCTCAGCTCTGTAAGCATACCTGGTGCTTCAGTGTTGAGAGAGACCTTCTTGGTACAGTATCAACCAAGATATATTGAAATAATTTGGCAGTAAAGGTAAGCAGAAGATTTTTCTGTTCCTCTGCTGCTCAGAACTGCTGGAAACAGCTGTAAGTGTAGAAACCACTGTATTCTGAAACAGTTGAAGGTGATTTTGCTTGAAAACTGAGCAGTCTGGCAGAGAAAATGAATTGAACTATTTCAGCCAAAACTTTTTATCAACAGGAAAAGGGTGCAATTAAGTAATCATTTAATTTTACTGAACATATATTAAAACATTAACTTAGGAACTTTTTAACTTTGGGCAAAGCCAATAGCAACTTGAATTTGATTGCAGAAACAGAATCAACATTACTAGTAGGAATTGTATCCATTTTTGAACATAAGAAATGCTTATATGCTGTATTAAACATGGAAGTTTACACATCTATCCCATATTCTCTAGGAATACCTCTACAAATGTGGTTTAGGGAAGTGATCTGGCTGTGCCTAAAAGACATGCTTATCTGCTGACACTCATTTTCACTGGCCTTCTTCGTATTTTCTTTTTCTTGCTGAGTGAAGTATCTCCAAATTCTGGAATTTCTCCATATCTATTTGGTTTTGAATAATGGAGTTGTGAAGAGCAGAGTTGTCCTCATCTCTGAGTGCTTTTTCACTTCTTGCTGGAGTTACAGTCACGGGAGAAGACTTCTGCTGTAAAGCAGTGAATCCTTCTTTCACCTGACAGAATACAAAAGTAGCAGTTGATAATCCAGTGAAATTCAGGTGCAAAGGGTTCAGATCACTGGATTTTGTTGAGCACTAGGCAAGCAAGGAAACGTGAACAGGAAGATAAATCAGTTGGGGAAGATGCGTTTAATTTGCAGTGTTTGCTTCGTATTTAATTTAGAAAACTTGATAATGACAAATACACTTTTATGGACCAAACCTTAACGTAAGACTTAGTGCAGGAGTATGATCTAAAAAAAAGACAACCTTGTGTTAGAGTGCAGATTAGCAAAATAAATAGCTTAATTAAAGAGTTTAATGTTGCAATTGACATTTCTACGGCTATGCAAGCATTTGATTAACAAAACCCAAAACCATGAGGTTTATAGTGTTAACTCCCTCTCCGCTTCGCTGTATAGATTAGAAAGCAAAAAATCATTAATGCAAGGGCTGTAATAGGTTGGCTTTTTAACGTTAGAGATCTTTTTGTTGTTTTAATAGTTTTAATTATTCTTTGATAGATACTTCATATCTGTGCAAATCAAAGACAGATGGCAGCGCAGCAGGGAAACAAGCTTTTTGCTTGCAACCCGTGACCCTGTGGCTCTTGGGGAGGCCAGCACAGCACCAGCCACCTGCTTTATTTTAGCACGTGGATTTTATGCTAAAACTTTCCTTCCCCAGACTTTACTGAAGACAAGTGTTTGGACCTCTTTGGCCAAGTAATTGCAGTTAGGTCACACACACACACATATATATATGTGTATAATTTTAATATAGTTCTGTGATGGTTTAGAATATAACTTTAAAAAACGTAATCTCAGCTGTCAAACTAAAAGGCCTCAGCATTTTCATAATAAAATAAAAATAAAACGTGTTTTAGTGCCAGTACTGAGTAATATTGCAACTTGTGGGACACATGTAAAAGCCATTATTGCTGAACAGTGATTGCACGTTGAGGGACTTGTGTTTAAACTGAGCTGAGGATTCTTATCCCATTGTACAGAGTAATGTTTAAAACAGTTCTTAATATTTTTACTGGAATTTTTAGTGCACCTGTAGCATTTGTGGATAGTTTTTATCCCTTTTCAGAGTACTGTGCTGTGGTTGAATGAGATCACCCAAACTGTAGAAGGCTTAAGTCTGCACTAATTACGATCATACATCTTAGTCAAAACAAACTGCTCAGCCCATTTTTAATCTCCCAACAGCTTTTTGATATCAGTCATTAAAATGACAGATTTGAGGACGGAAGGTATTAGAATGACACCAACACAGAAGGGAGGGAGTGGTCTGCAATATCCAAGGCTGAGATTTCGCAGATTAAGTATTTGGAAAATAATCTAAATAAGGTGAAAGCGGCAAGGCCCTCTGTTCTTGTCCAGCTCCACTTTTACTTGGCTAGTGCATAAGGAGCTTTAGTTTGGGGGTGGCAAAGCAGACATAACCACCATCAGATAGGGAAATACAGCTTTGCTTCAGCTGTAGGTTATGTAGTGTAGTTCACTGAGTTCCTGACTCCCCCTCTGAGACAAAGCAAGAGAGACACAGTAAATTTCCCTATGGGGTGGAAAATCCACCCCCGTGTCATTCACAAATAGAGTCAGACTGGGAAAGTTGAGTATTTTAAAACAATCTTCCAAATGTTAGAGGATGTGAATGCTGAGGGCACCGAGCTCATTGAGTCCTCAGAAGTCAGACACCTTTGTCACTGGAAACACCACATACCCTGATCTCAGACCTCATCCAGAGACAGCCATAACTACCTGAGAAATACCTCTAGAACCTCTCCTAAAAAAAAAGGTCAACTGCAACTGTAAATCGTTGCATCACTTTTGAATAATATGTTTAGCATTAGGTCAGGTTCTCATACAGCTGTTCAAGCTGCAGTCTAACACAGATCTGAAAAGGCCCTTGCTAGTGCCATCCTGGAGGAAGTTCTCTGACAGGGAAACAACAGGCTTCTATTTTATTACCTGCTTTGACACATTTGTGCAATGTCATCCTACTAAATAGTAAGAAATTACTCTAAATAGGGCACCCAAGAACTGCAGCATAAGATAAATGGAGGAGGCTTGTGATTCCTAGATGTGCTGAATTTTTTTTTCTTTTCCATATTCTTTATCAAGTAGTAAAGGAAGCAATATTTTTATACTTTTGCATACTTTTTTTTTTTTTTTTTTAGTTCCTACTTTTACTGTAGGTGATGATTTTTATTAGGGTCCACAATGAACTATCCTCTTCCTCCCCTCCCAAACAGACTGGTTAGCATCTGTTTGATTCATAGGCTGTGACTTTTTCCTGCTGCTTTCTATCAACCTTAATTGTGAAAAATGGTGCCTTGTTGCCCTTCTGATATTATTTCGGAGATTGACTCAGCCCTAAAGTATCCAGATGGGTACAGTTGTACAAATATCTGTGGAATTAGCTCACTGAGGTCTGGTCTGCAATATTTTTAATTGACTTACATGTTCTGTGGGAAAAGAGGAATCATAAAAAGTCTTTGCTGTAGCATTCCATTCTTCACTGGGCTCTCCCTGGGGGTCTTGCTGGATATTGGAGGTATTCAAAGTGTTGGCAGCTCTGGTAGAACCTGATTGACAAAAAGGAAGTGGTAACAACTGCAGTTTAGTGTCCAGGCACTAATTGTGAAGTATCTAAACTGGTTTGCCTCTTGATCTTGAAAAATCAAATATTTTGGGTTTAAATCACTGGATCTCTGTTGTAGGTTTTTCCCCTTCATTTTTTTTTCTTGCACACACTTCCGCATCTGTTTTTTTTCTCTAAAGATGTGGTATGATTCTACTTTGATTAAAAATGTTTTCTGTCATCTTCACATATTAAGCTAATGACAAAACAGTGATTTATGGAAAATGCATGCCTTCTAAATATTCTAAGTGAATACATTTTTTCGAACACTTACTTTAAACTCACCTTCTGATAATTATAGTAAAATACATAAGTACTGCCATCCTTACATGATACTCCAGGGTGACTTGTCATAAAAATATATACCAGAGTGGGATAAACTGTAAACTGCATTGTGGTTAGGCAGGAAAAGGAATTCCCTCAGATTGGGTTACTCAGCTCCTTCACCGATGCTCTTCACCTCTGGATCTCTCACGTGGTAAAGTGGTTTGTGCTTCAGTAAGTAAAAACAAAATTTAAAAAAATACAGGGATCCACATGAAATCCACATGGATTCTACTCCAGGTTTGCCTTTCTGGGAAAAGATCTGGAAACAAAACCGATACAAAGCCCAACCACAATAAACGTTGTTTTAGGGACAAAGATACTTCTGAAAGTGAGCTTAAAAAAACGCACCTGAACACCAATATGCACAGGCAGGGCACAAGTACAGAGACAAAATTACCTGCAAAGCTGAATTCATAACACCAGAACAATGGAAAGAAGCCAACCTGCCTTTTTAAGCTTACAGCAGGCATTAAGAATAGAATCTGCCTGCAAGTTCTGCTGGGAGAAAGGAAAGCACCACTTGTACTGCCTTTTGTTCTGTCCAGTTAATGAAGTAGAGGGACATCTGTAAATGATGCTTTTAGTACTTTGGTAAAAAGATTTGAGTTTAGAAATGGCTCTTTTGGTAAATAAATCCAGGAGTAATCTCATTTGATGCAAAACGAGAGCACTGAATGAAGTCCAAAGGCTGCTCAGTGTTTCTTTAGATCCATGCAGAGCACTGAGAGAATATGCCCTACATGAGGGTTAGAAATACCTGTCAAAATTCAATTTGTCATTGTACTGATGTTCTTTTAGAAAGGGGAATATGAGAAAAAATTATTTAATCAGCTAATAGAACTAACAGAAGCTGATTAGTTGCACTTATACTATAAACAGTGAAATATCACCTTTCAATTTTTTTTGCCATATAACTAAAATGTCAGGTTTACATTTTTCTCCACTAAGATACAGAAATGACACATTTTCATAATTTTTTCCAAGCATATTCAATATATGGTTCAGAGCACAAATGCTTAGTATTTTCTCACCTTGTCCTGTTTCTCCTATGTCCGCATTTTCACCGGGATTTTGACACTGTGTTTTTGAAATCCCCTTTGTGTTTTCCACCAAGCATGGCAGTTTCAAAAGGGAAGGTTCCTTGGGAGCTGAAGTCCATGCAGCTTGACCTCTCGTTTGATTTACTCTTGAACAAGAACTGAGGTCTAAGAAATTGAAGTATAGTGGAGTTTTCTCAGCTTTTTTATCTGAGGTTGAAAGATCAGAGGATGACCTTCCACTTATGTTTACTAAATTTCCAGATGTTCTCATGGGGAAAGAGCACGATTCTTTCAGGTGACCCTCAGCAAACTTCCTTCCTGGAACTGTACTGGTCAGCAAGTCTTTCTTCTCTTTCAACAATGTGTTATTTGTTGAATTATTAATCTCCGGGGAATGCCCATTTTTGATGGAGTGTATCTGAGTATCACCGTTGACTTTTTTGCATGGAATTAGTTTATCTGTACCAGCCCTATCTGTCGGGGGGTTTTTAGGAGCAATTCCAAGACCATCAGCCTTTCCTGGAGATGTGGTTTCAGCATTGGAGGTGCTTGAATTTGTAGCACTCCCTGTTTGTTTAGAACTGTCTTGATCAGGCTGCTTGCTGGGCACGTCACCCACCTTTATTCCTCTCTCAGTTTTTGGGGGGCATAAACTGAAAGCGGCTGAGACAGTCACGTTGTCACTGTGTTCTTTCCCAGTGTCATCACAATTCACAGTTGGTAGATTCTGAGCATCGGTTGCTGGAACTCCACTGCTCCCCAGGGCACCTTTTGTGTTTGTGTTTCTGGCATCGTTTCTGTCTTCAGCACCTGCATGCACCTGTTTAAGAGGAAGTTTGTGGAAACCACTCAGATTGAAGGTTTTTTCTATTTGATGTAACCTGCTGCCCACGTAATTGTCACTGGTCAGCAGGCTACATTTTTGGTATTCTGTTTGAGACCTTTCTTTAGCTTGATGGTCGCCTGTACTTCTCTCACACAGAGCATCCTTCTCAGGGCAAACAACCACTTGAGTCTCAGGTTTGAGTGCTTCAGGTGTCAGGACACTCGTGCTGTGTTGTAGGGTGTCTGACTTTGTGTGTGCCTCAGCACAGGATTCAGCTGTAGCATTGCACAGCTCCTGCTTGCTGGAGTTGATCTCCTGGTTCCCATTTTTCTTGTCAGCACCTGCAGGTTCAGTGGTGTCTAAAAAGGCCTTTCTTTGTGTGTGGGCTGCTGCCCATGGCTCGGTGCTGGCCTGGGGCTTTTGTTCTAAATTTGGGTTGTTCTCATCCAGTGCCATTCTCTGTGTTGCTCCTGGATTTTCTGCCTCTTTGCTCCCAGTGACATGAATTTCTGAGCTCTGTCCTTGGGTAATTAAACCAGTATCTGTGCAGAGGGTATTCCTGGGAGAAGCCTCCCTTTGCTTTTCTTCACAAGCACCAGCAACATTAATTTCATCCTTAGAACTGTTTTCAAGAACTTGTAAATCTGTAGGGTAAGTGCATTCTCTAGTTAGTAGATGATAACCCAGAGCTTATGTAATGCTTTGTTCTTACAGTTTAGAACTTCCAAAGAGATGGACTCAAGATTAGTAGTGATACTGATTTTTCTTATATTACACATATGAGCCTATCAAAAAGTTACTGAAGATATTGCACTATGGTAACTTGCAAAATATTTATAAACTGATAAAACAGAAAATATATTAACATTCTGTAGATTTTACGTATGGCTTATAGTTGAAATAACTGGTATCTGTCAACCTTATTATTGAAAGAGGTCTTCATAATGAAATTATAATATTATTTCATAATAATGTGAGTCAATATAAAGGTTAAGCCACTCGTTACTAGTGCAACTGGGTTTGTCTTTATTTTTCAAAGTGGCATTTTTAACTAAATGGAAAACAAAGCCAAAAGAGCTGTTTAAGTGACACACCAAAAGCAACATGATGTGGCTTGATAGGAGTGGGCCATTTCAATATCAGAAGGGTGTTTTCCAAAACATTGAAGGCTGTGGGCACTGATCCTTTAAAGCACTGACTTTGCAGTTAATGAGATTTTAAACTTCTGATTGTCTTTGCTACGTTTTAGAGACTGAGCATTAGAGACTACTTATCTCTACTACCCATGTAAGGTTATTACTTTGTTCTGTCTGTAATTCCTCGGTGTTTGAAGAATGGTCTCTTGTGGTTTTTACTTCACTTTCTTCTTCGTGTCCACAATTACCGTATTTTCTTATTACAGATTGTATAAACTCATTTTCTTTCTGAATAGCCTGTATGCCACTGTCTTTTGATTGTTCTTGACCACTCTAGCATAAGAAGGAACAAATGATTATACGTATTTTAATAAATTACTAAACTCACTGATTCGATCTAAAGTTCAGGACTTAGATTTAAAATTAATTTTACAATCCTGCTGGAAAACAAAGACCACTCACCTGAAGTATAAAAAGCTAATAAGAGGGAAATAAAAAAGCAGACTAACACCCTAGAGGAGCAGGCAAGAAATTAGGTCCTGCTATATTACAGCCCACCAAGTTATAAAGACTGACAGAAGTTCTCAGTGGAAGGCATATGTGTTGTGCACGTGCTGACTGGATCGCTCCCTCTCTCTGGTGGCCAAATCAGTGACCTGCTCAGTAATTCCACGCAGGAAAAGCCTGCAGGATTGCTGTTTACACCCAACACACGTGCACACACACACACACACACACATATTAACACAATTGTTTCTAACAAACCACCTAGGACTTTTACCTTCATGTCACAGGCAGATAAGGCTCAGGAATTTGTAATCCCTGTGATTCAGTTCCCCAGGTCTGTGCTTGGGCACTGGGTGAGTGGGGAGGACAGAGGGTATTGCAAAAGGGAGGGAGCGCTGCTGAAAATGGGACTATGGCATCTTTTTATTTTCCAAGTTTTTAATTAGTTTTCCTTCTTTGCTCCCCAAAGCCTTGGCACCGCATTTTCAAGCTTTCTGAACAAGCATATTAGAAATTCTCTTTTTCTTTCATGAAAGCTGTAACTCTTTCATAATCTTTTGCTTCTAGGAGCTGTTTCCTTTGACAGAAACACCAACCACCACAATATAACTCTTTTGTACAGTTATAAAGCAGCTACTGCAGTGGCACTTACCAGCTTTGTTGGTGTGGGCAGGACTGCTGAGTGCACCTGAAACAAAGAGGATAAAGAAAGGCAGAAAGGTTCTGTGATTCCTTTCCAGATTTTCAGATGGCTTGAATAAACCTAGTTTTCAATATCTTCAAATGGCTCTTCAGCCCTTCAAAAATAGGTCCTAGATGCACAAACTAAAATACCTAAATATCAAAACTATCAAACCTGGATTTTAATTTTTTGCCCGTGATTTAAATGAGCTTTAGATGTGATTTTTAGGTCACCTTTCCCTCAACAGACTAGTTCACACTAGGAAATTCAAAACCTGCTCAAAACCAGACCCCCCTGTGCATCTACACACAAAAGAATTGCAGCAACCCATTAGCAGGTGTAGCCCTGTTCTCTGTTGGTGCACAGCTGTATTACAAATAATATTAAACCAAATGTGAAGCATGGTAAGGTCAAACTAAACTGCAGTTTATAAAGTTTATAATGAGGTCTGACATTGTATCTTTCTTTTAAAAAAGCCCTTTGCTTAATTACTATTCCAGAGGTGATCAGGATGAAGAAGTTTACGTACATGCTAAATTTCATGCCCCACAAATAATTGCAGGGACTTCAGATTGCACTAGGTGTAAAAATAAATATGTGCATGTTTCCTTACAGCACTTGGAGCCACAGTCAAGATCTAAATCACAGCCAACACCTTTCCCTTTCGTGTTTCACTACACACTGACTGATTACTGGTAGGAGGTGGAATTCCACAAACCACTGTAATCAATATGATCTGCTGCAGCTCCTGTGGTGTCTTGGCACTGTCCCACCGGAGATTTGACTCAGCCCAGCCTGCCTAGCTTTGGAAATCAAATGACTGTACAGCACAGAGTGCTGTGGCAGTTTGCCATAAGATGGTGTAAGATGTATATTTAGAGGACATCTCAGACTTTTTTCCATTTCCTTTTCTGCTTTCAAACCCACAGTGTTTTCTCAGTAAGCACAAGCACTGCTTATCATGAAAGGCTCACTGCATTGATCCTGCATCCTAAACATAACTGATATTTTATTTTCATTCAAGGAATCGATGATTTCTTAAAGTTATACCGTTTGCATTACACCTCATAGAGTTCATCCAGCTTTGACACAGTTGGAGTTTTTAAAGCAAAACTAGAACTTCTATAACCTGTATATTGAAAAAAAAGAATCTTCTGATCTGTGCCACGTTGCAGAAACTGAAATTGGTTCCTCTGAGGAGAGGTTTCCGTGCTGTAAGCATCCCCTCTGGAGGAAAGGGGAACATTCTCTGGGTACAATAAGTTTTAATGGTATTTTGGGTCATTGTCAGATAAATTCTTAGGTTTGGCAATGTCAAAGGAAGATCAGTGGACCTGACAGACAAGATTAGGAAAACCGTCATATCTCTTATTCTCTAATATTTTTAGAAGACATGGAAGGTACTGCAGCTGGTAGAGACCCTTACCTGCAGATTTTCCACTTGCTCAGAATGCTGATTTCCCTGAGGAGGATGATAATCTTCAAGATGTCCATGAAGTCCTTTAAGGGAATTCAGCTCATTTTTAATAGTATCCATTTCTCTTCTCATGTTTTCCTCCTGTAATAATTGAGAGTACACAGAGTACACAAACACTTTACTGCATGTTCAAATACATAAACTAGCATTTTACAAGGGTATCAACAGCTTAGAAAATTAAAGAAAATCCTTAAAAGAAAGTATAGATGCTAAGGAATGTCACAGTAGGAAGTAACTGAGCTCTTTAATTCAAACCAAATTTTTAACCACATTTCCACTGCAGATTATACCTTTTATCAATTGATTTTGGTGTTGTTTTTTCAAGAAACCACAACAGCAAATAATTTGCTTGGCACTTTACTTCTGTAAATAGCCTCGAGTATCCAGTGCTTCTTCAGTGAATATGGAACAATTAGATTTTTGTATTTAGAACAAGCAGGGTGGTCCAAACCACAAGATGCGAAAAGAACAGAAGGGCAATTTTACAGAAATACCTTCACTTCATTTACAAAGATCTCCAGAGCAGCGTGTAATGTTAACTTTACCAGTGATGCTGCTGTGCTTTAAGAGACCGCATTTCTGGTTGGTCATAGCAGAAATATGAAAAGGGGAAAAAAAAAATCTTCTAAAGAATAGTTGCAAACATTCCTGAGAAATAAGCAGGGCGGATTCCATGTGTACACAGGAAACTGTGGTATAAAACTCTCCAAGGAATCAGGGAGACCAAATCCTCTCAGGGAATTGGGCATCAGAACGGTTCAGCTGGTTTGTAGCCTCCTGGTTGCAGTGGCTGCACTCAGATGAGTCAGCCTTAGACAACAGCATTACAAGGACAACTTTGCATCATTTCCCCACAGCTTCTCTGGAAATCCATCTACCAAAATCAAAACCTTGCTGGCAGAAGGTGCCAAATACACAGAAATAAAAAAGACAGACTATTAAACAAATGCTGCCTCGAGTCTGGTTTCCACACACTAAGCAGATCTTGTCTTATTGAAGGGTATTAATCTTTCCTACTTGTAAACAGGCATTTATTATTGCAGACAATTTTTACAGCTACAGTGTTTTGCTAATTGTTTTGGATTAAATAATTACAGAAGTACTCTTTAAAAGTAATGAAGTTGTAGAAAGAATGTCAAATATTGAAGACAAATGGTTGTTTAGGTGCAGACAGAGGTGAATTCACCGAGAGGACATACAAGACATGCACCTTTTCTTACCCCCTTTCACCCTCAGTCCACACTGAAGAATTCCTCTCAAATCAGAACTACAGGAAGAGCACTGACCTTTTAGAGCACAGAAGTCAACCTAAACCTACCTTTAAAAAAATATTCATCTCTAGAAGAATCTGTGTTACTGGAAAAGGAATTGGTTGTTTTTGTTGTATTATTTCTGCAATATTTTCTTGGCTTTTAGGAATCGCCTGAAATGCTTGATGACTATTTCAAAAACCTTTTAATACTCTAACATTTAATTTAATAAACCTACATCTTTTTTCCAAGTTCTCAGTGCTTTCTCATGCTCATTCTGAAGATTAAGGAACTTTTCTTCATTTTCCTTTGCCTTCTCCCTTTGCAGCTCATTATCTCTCTCAAGGGCCTGCAATAAAATTAATTATCCAAAAAATAATCAATACCACATTAATGAATTTTGATGTGTTTTATGTTGCTTGGACCTTTGCTTCTAACATGCTGGAAGTGCCATGCAGATCAGTGATAATGTGCTATCTCAACAATAATTTTCATAAATTAACAGAAAGGTGCTTATAGTTTAGCTAACAGGAAACAGGGGGAGGTTATGAAAAAAGAAATGGCTATAAAAGGGTATAAAAACACTTGCCATTATTCAGTTTCACTGCATAAGTTTTAATGTCCTGAAAAAGTAATATAAAGTCCAGAGATGAGAAATATGAAATGTAGCATATCTAGACCTTAAAGAAAAAAACTACTGTATGCTGAAAGAAAAAAAAAATATTCTTCTGATCAGTTTTTCTGTCCTAAATTGTTTATTAACCTCTCTTATAAACTGTATAGTCTTTACATTCTAAAACATATCTACTGGAACATGAAGTATACATCTGATTATCCTTCAATTTATTTTTATTAGACCATTGACACAGGAGTGCACTGAAATAGCAGCAATACTAAGTTTTAGACAATCATAGCTGTGCTTGCAACATTTTTGGGTTAACTCTTTCAGCTTTCCTGGGATAAATCAAAGCAGGCTTGTGTAAACCAACGGGGTCTTCACACACATATCAGGTACCCTTGGAATTTTTATCCTATCGCATTTTTATGGCAAACAATATGGAAGATAAAAGACTCACTGCATCCATGACCTACTGGAGACTTGAGAATGTAAACACAACTTTAATGCACGCAGCTCTATGGCCAGCTACAGATTTGCGACTCTGCTGAGCTTCTTTGAAAGCCCACTTGAAAAATGTTAAGTTACAGAGGCAGTACCCCCAAACCAATTCATTTTTACTAAATCTTTTAACTAAAAATGAGCCTACCTGATTCGCTTAGCATTAACTTTAAAATGCATTATTAATAAAACTATGTGTTACAGATATTAACACTAGGAAAACTCAAACTACCTTGTACTTTTGCACCCTTGGGAGAAGTTCTGTGCAAGGATATAATGGAGCTTCTTTGACAGACTACACAATTTTTTTTTTTTTTGCTCGATGAGCAAGGCCCACAAATTTGACAGGGAAGTGGAACAGAGCACAAGAATAGCACATAACCTTTAGATGCCTTATATCAAATTGAGGCTCTAGAATCAACACAGATGAAATCAGTAGTTCCCAAATTGGCATGAAGGCACATAGACCTTGAAGTTATATATTCAGCTCCATATTTTTTAGGTTCCATTTGATGTTTCTAAAAAAATGACAGTGCAAAAGAAGATGTTAACGCTGTCTCATTCCCTGGAATATCCTGGTAATTGTATCAAACTGTCAGCCAAACAAATAGCTATAAAAAAGCAACAATATTTTATGACCACTGTTTTAACTGAAAAACAGACACTTCTGATAAATCAAAACAATCCCATGAGTTCATCTGGAAGGAACAAGAACCCATGACACTCACTTTTAATATCAGACTGGATTTCCGTCACGCTGTTTAAGGGAATCACTGCACTTTGTGCATGTATTTATCAGGTTTACAAATAAAATTCATCTGTTAAATATCTAGCCACTTTTATTTCTCCAGTTGTGAGAGAAAATGAAAGCAGAGAAGTGATTAGCAATGGTTTGTGCTGGAGCTGGAACAGCAGGAAACAGTGATGCTTCCCCAGCCTAAAATAAACAGACCCAAACCAAAGCAGGCTCTCTAATCAGGATTCGTATAATCACAATCAGAAATCAATTTTTGGCCTGAACAGGCTGCACAACAGAGACTTGTACTCAGTTGGTACCTTGACAAGAGGAAAACAAGCTATACTTGCAGACATTTATGTGCAGTCTTCAAAGGGAAGATTCACAGATACCATTTACAGTTTTAGCTGGAGCTTTAAGACACACTATAAACTTCATCTGGGATGGGAAACAAAGCTCAGAAATACTATCAGGAGAAAGCACTTTTAGAATGCACCTGCTATTCAGTAATGCTGGCACAAAGATTCTAAAGGGCTCCCATATTATGAAAGTCACCATCAGTAAGGTTATACACCAGTTAAATGATCTTGAGCTGCTGGTTTAACTTACAAAGCAATTTCAGTGATCATAAAAAAACAAAAAGCACATTACCTGCTTACTCGAATGTTGTATGAATAGCAAGCAATCCAGCAGTTTCACTGGACCCAACATATAAATAAGAGAAGTTACAGAAAATCCTGCAACTTGAGGCAATTCTTTTAATTCCTGGGGAAATTTTAGCTAGTTTCTGACGGAGAATATAGCTCACCTTTAACCTTGCTTGTTTAATCAAAATGCAAAAGTGCTATATTTGTGGCACAAGGCAACTATTTAACATTACAACTATTAAAAGTCAAAGTAAGGCTTAAGGGAAGTTAATCTTATTTCAAATTAGCAAAGAAGCTTTTACTTAGAAACAAAAGCATACATGTACACTGGAAGCATAATTTGAAATGAACTATCTTAGTCCAAAACGTTGGCCTCACAGGCCAAAGAATGGAATGATTGTGGTTATGTATGGACAAGTACTAGATAATAATTATTAACAGAGCAATTAATGGTCGTATCTGAACTCTGCACGGCACATCTGGTGGGAACAGATATGACCTTCATCTTTAGTGCACTGTGGGCCAAGCTGGTGTTGAAATGTAGGATCCAAGCTGTTCTGAGTTACTGTTATGTGCTGAAAGAGGAACTAAGGAGTGCTGCAACTCCACACTCTCCACGTGACCGCTGCCCACCGTAAATATGACACCAGACAGCACAGCAAGAAAGGGCCAAGGACAGGCTCTTTCTAAGGCCCTCTGCTCTAATAAAACTGAGGGCAAGCACTAGCTGGGAATGAAGATCTGAAATTTGAAGTGTTTTCCAGAAATTTATACCTTTCTGCGAATTACAAGGGGGAAAAAAAAAAAAACCAACAACTACAAAAGTCATAAAATAATTTGATTTCAAAATACTCAAAAGTAACCCCCAAAACATTTTGGTTTTACCCTCCAGAAGTGGCTGCTGAGAATGGCAACCAGGATTTCCTTTAGGGAGAGAAGAGGGGAACCACAGCCTGTGCTTCAAGGTTGATGCTGACAAGTTTAAGGAGCTGAGGGAGCAGTGGAAGCGAGGTCAAAAGTTCTGAAAAGCACACAGATGTCTTTACCAGCCCTGGGCTTTAAAATTACAGAAAAGATAGTAGCAGCTTGTCTAATCAAGACAAATCTGACCTGATATTCTTCTTTCAGCGCATTTAATTCGCTTTCCATCCTGGCATTCGTTTGGGTTGTTCGCTGAAGGAGCTCCTGCACACACTGGAGGGAGCTGAGGATTTCCTTGTTAATACAAACAGAAGTGGATATATTGAGTAAGATTTTGTTTCTAGAGTTTAAACATGAATTTATATTTTTTACCTTTTCTTTTCTTTTTCTGTCAGTGTTTACAAAATCATGCATTAAAAAATTGTTCTCCAACGTCAGCACTGAGGAAGAGTTTGTAGGGAGAAATCAGAACAACGCCCACTTTTTCTGGCCTTTTGCCTTGGAGGAGACAACCTTATTATAACTTACTATAACTTAGTATTTCTCAGAGAATTTTCTTATAATGAAAATGAAATCCACCAATACTTTGAACGCACTTCAGTGCAAATCTGGAGAAAAATAAATCCAGCCCCAATGTGAGTTCAACTCAGGGCAGAGTAATTTTATGTTACCGTATCACAGTTGTGAAAAATTGTGGAAAATCCCAAAGAAATTACTCCATTAATGGATTATCATTATGTGACATCATTCTGAGCCTCCTGAATTAAACCCTAATAGAAGCCAACTATCACATATTGGCTTTGCATCACACGGTGCAAGTATATCAGATTTTGCTGTCACTGTGTGAACTCTTGTGGCACCTCCATCAAGAGGGTGTGTTGTTACTTCATGAAGAGTGAATTCTAACAAAAGAGCCCCCCATAATGAGCTGATTAAAGTGCCGTGCGTTTACAGACCCACGGGTGCTGCTGTTAAGTTCGTTGCAGTTAGCTGAAGAGTGAGAGGGGGAGTGATTTCATATTAAACACCACAGAACACATTCCCAAAGTTTCAAAGACAAGAGGGAATGACCCAGACAAGGCAATCTCTACTCCCTAAAGAACAGTTACAGCACTTGCTAAAAGAAGACCTGCACAAGAAAAAACAGTGAGTTTCAGGCAGAAGGCAGTCCTGAATGTGCTCAGTGGCTTCAAAATACACCGAGAGCAACATATTATTAAAACAAACACTTTCACACACTTGCCAAGTGCTCTCAAATTATTCTATTTTTGGTTCTATTGGGTACACAGAAACAGCTGTCTACTAAAAAAGCCAAATCATTATTTTGAGTGTACTCTCATTCTTTTTCATGCATGTATACTCTTATGCAGAGATAATTTTTGCGCTGAGCCTTACTTAATTTTTGCTTTAATTTCACATCTAAAAAAATGAAGTGCAGAGCTGTGGAGTGTCATCTGACAGGTCAGGAGCAGAGCTGGCCACAACTTTTCAATCTAGTACAGTGGTCACTCGACTAGACCAGATTGCTTCTCTGTGTACAGCTCAGTGCAATCAGCAATAATTTAGGCAGCATTTCCAGCCTCAGCCAAGAACCACGGAAGCCAGCATTTCAGCTGATGCAGATGGTGAATTATTAGCGCTCTGTAATACAGAAATCCACATCTTCTAACCCAAGCTCTTGGAGAAAACACAAAATGTATCTCTATACTAGAGCCCTCCCCAGACCAAACCCCCCCACATGTTAAAACCAACCCCAGCGATTCACACCCAACAAAACAGAGACACAAAGCAGAGTCCTTCTCTCAGATAACACATATCAAATATGCATGTGAATTATGCTCCATGCAGCTCCACAGAAATGCTTTTAGTGCAGTCAGGGCTGGGAGAGCAATGAGGCCTGAATTTGTCTCTCATTTTTTATCCTGTGTTTATTGGCAAGTATTTCTTTAAAGGAATGTTTTTTTCCAGACTGGAAGAGTGCTGCTGGATGAGCCTCCATGGGTAAATAACAAAGCTACTGCTTTGTCCTTCCCTGAGAAAAAGAATGAGACACTCTCCCTGGAGAGTGAAAAATCTACAACTGCTCAAGAAAAGAAAAGAAAAAAACAACGACCCTTTTTAGGCTTAATATTCTGCAAAGCAGAACAGAGGGAAGAAAGGGGTTTTTTGCTGTGTTTGATGCTTGACTCCATATATACCTTAGTTTGAATATCAGCATTTGCTCTGGAACAGACCTGAGTAATGGAACATCATTTCCTTTGTATGCAATTGACAAATTATTCCAATGTTACCTGGTTTCAACACCTTTATTATTATAATAAATAATAATAATGTAGATAATAAACTGTTGATCACCAGAAAGCAGAAGAACTAACGTGTTATGCCAGCCTTTCTGCTTGTCTGTACTGAGCTGACATGGAGACAATTGTTTCATGGGAACACCAAGTTTCTCCCATCTGAACTCAAACACAGAACATGAAGAAATGAAATAAAGTGTCAAACAATAGACTTTGTTCTGGTAATACTCTTTTCAAAAACCAAACAGTCAAAGCCCACTCATGCTATTATTAAAATATTCCAGAAGAATAAACGAATGAATTTAACTAATTTTTGTGGCTTAGTGTAATAATTTAGGAAACTTAAATATGAAACATGGCACTCAGAATTCTTAAGTTATTTAAAGTGGCCAAGCTGTATTAACTCACCAGCTTTTCTTCTTTAATGTGTGTGTTTTCTTCTTGAACTTTTTTACTGACTGCAGTCTCCTTAAAAGAAAAAAAAAAGAGCATGAAGAACAGTAAAAGGCATTTAAAATTAGTGTCGTTTTCTTTATTAATATTGTATTGATGTGAAATAGTGAATCACCATGAGGCTATTTAAAGAAAGTGAATTATACTGAAATGTCTTCTTACCCACTTTTTTTTTACTATGAAATGATACCAATATTCATGGAATATTTACTTCCCTGGAAGAGGTTGTGCTGGAAATAGTTTCATTGTATTGTATATGGAGTTAGTAGAAAGGAGTGACTGATCTGGACATCAGGGATAACTTCCAGAAAACAACCACCAAAAATTGAATTTGTTTAAATTCCAAAATACCATTCTGATTTTCTGCTGCAGTTCTTGAAACTGTTTTTCCTTCGCTGCGAGATTGATGTTTTCTTCTCCCACCCTGTACTGAGATGTGACCTTGGACCTTATCAAGTCTGCAGTTACTTTCTTCAGTTCCTTAGCACAGGAAACACATATAAATAGTTCATCCAGCATAGGCATTGCAGTTCAAAACACAGACAAATCTTCTAAACTACCCTGAGTCGGGCTCTACTTTTCAATAATGCACAGAAACAACAGAACAATAATTAGAGGCACTGAAATTTATAAGACTGACTTGCTAGACTTTAAACTCCTCACAGGTGGCTGAAAGTTTATTTTCAGAGGTAAAAAAGTTCTTGTGCTAATTTTACTCTGTTTGAAGTATTTACTTCACCATTTTGTTATTTACTCTTCCAAGAAGGATGTTAGAGGTGGACACTGAGCTGGTATTGGTAAAACCTCCTACACTGAGATATACAATAGGAATAAAGTGCTGTTATAACTGCTGTGTATGTGCCTGGGGATGAGGAGGGGAAAAGGAAGAACAGTGATTATCTGGTAAAAACAGGAACTGGCTATAAATTTGGAGGATCTTTGCTTTTCCTGAAACATTAATTACCTCCTCTCAGGAGAATGCTAAATTAATTTTATATTAGAAGCTTCTATAACACGATGCCTTTGATTTTATAGTCTTTATGCTCTTTCAAATATCCTTTTTTTTTTTTTTTCTGGTATCTGTTTCGTAACCAGTTTATTCCAAGCTCCTAGTGCAGCAAATAAACAGCAAATGCTTTGATCTCATGAAATTACAACTTATAGTTCCTGGAGCCATAAATATTGTGCCCTGTTCTCCCCCACCCCTCCCGTTCTGGTCCAAGGTAGTCTGGTTAATCTCTCTCTCTCTCCTGGAGCACTCTGACGTTTCCTCAGACAAACAGCAGAGGTTGTGAACGCTGCTCACAGATAGGATCAAGAATTCTTCCCGATGCCACAGCGAGGGAACCAAGCATTCAGCGTGGCAAGAGTTTTATCTAACAGCTAAAGTTCGGTCTGGTTAACTTTTCTTCACAAAACTGGAATTCCAGTTATCACGGACAGAATTATCACACCCACCAAGGGTTTTGACTGTTCTGGACAAAATCATAGAACAGCATGAAAGAAGAAGGAAAGATTATGCTGTAGCTGAAATTCACAAAGTTTTATGGAAAATACAAGCATACTTTTAAATAAATCCATTTTTTCCTTTTTTTTCTGCTTTTATTTTAGCCATAAATAAATCTAAAACTATTTAGGAAGTACTAAGTGTAATTGGAGAATCAATTCCAAAACCCAAAGACAGCAATGCTTTCAAATATTCTGTATTCTAGTAAGGTTTTTTTTTTTCCATTTTTAAAAATAAAACCATGCATTAGTTGTCCTGTTTTTATTAGAAGGCTCTGTCATGAAAGGTGCAAGGAGAGTTCCTGCAGTTAAGAGGCAGAAGGTGAGAGCAATTTTAACTTTACAGCAGTGAAAATGTGCCCTGTGCCAATCTGCATAGAGAACTGGATTAATGGGGTAGAGAACACACACAGGCAGGTGCAAAAACCTGCCATGGATATGACCAAAACTTTATAGTGTGGAGGAAAAAAAAACCAACTTACTACTTATTTTGTCATGGGGAAAGAGCAAGTCACACAAAGTAAATCATGCCCTTGAGGTAGAAAAGATGACTGGATTTTTTTTCCTTTGTGAATAGCAGGTGGATGGGTACAATCCATCTGGAACCAAACCCAGGTCTGCTAAGATTTTTGGCAGGAAAAAAACCCAAAACCAACAAACAGCCAAAACCCAACACAAACTCCTCAAAAACCCAACACCAATGAGACCATCAAAAACAATGGCAAAGTTTTCCATAGTGAGTGAAATCACAAGCCATGTAGCTGTAAAAATAATATAAAATAATGTTATACATCCACACATATATGTATTTTCTTAAAATTTCATCCTCAAGAATTTTTGCTTTATTCCAGTAGATTTCTCTTATTGTTAAAGTTACTAGTAGTGTTCAAACCCATATAAATTAAATGGACTGTGGAACATATTTTATCAGGTTTTGAGGTGTGCTGAGAAAGAATGACAAGGCTTTAAGGCCATTCCTTTGATGTGTTCCCAGAAGCCAATGCTGAGGGACACAGCTTCAAAAACACTTCATGCCAGTGGAAGTCAAGAGTGTCACAAAAACCCAAAATGTCTGCTCTTTAACCCTATTTTCCTGTTGCGTGTTGAGCTAAGCTAAAACTTCCACCTTTTTTTTTTTTTTTTGTAAAATGTAGTTTTGATCGATACAAAATTTTAATTCTACACTACCTCAAAGGTGAATAAATACAGGTTCCAGATGAAAAAGGACTGGAAAAGCAGCCAAGGCAGGCAGATGTAACCACTTCCCAAGACTGTGCTGACCCTCTGTGCAAACTTTAACTGTGCTACTCTTCAGGTCTTGAGCAGCATTAGTTGTTTGTTTTGGGTTTTTTTTTTAAGCAGCAGAATGAAAGAAACCTTTTTCTTGGCCAGATTTCAAGGCAAGCCTTTTCACAGTGGTTGGAAAGGATCCTACCACATCAAATATCAAAATGTTCAAATCCAAAAGCAGCTGTTACCTAAAAGGAAATTTTGCCACAGTCCATTACATCAAAATTTAGGAACTGGAATTGAAGCTGGCAAGGTCAAGAGAAAACTACAACCTCTCCAAATAACACTTCTTTCCTGACATCCCAGAAGAATGAACCTGTGCAGAGCAGACTGCAACTTAACCCAGGTTTACTGTTGTACATATTTCACACCCCCCTTAACACACATGCAATTTCATTATATTGGAGATTAAGGGGCTTTAATCAGTAAATATTGAATTGCATTCATTAACTTCATATCCCCGTTAAGAACAAATGTGTGAGATCATCCTGGGCTGAGTCAAAGTAATGGCTGTGATAAGAGCTGACAAGCAAATTAAGATTTTAGTGCTATGGACACTCATTCCTGCTCCTGCACTGAGGCTACAGAGGGAAGGAGTTTGAACCCATAAGTTGTCAGAGCTGTCAGAGGTCAGTCAAGTGTCCAGGGCAGATAAAAACAGCTTTAGAAGTTGTCCCAACTCGTACTGTAGCTATCATGACTTCTTTCAGCCATGTAGCAAGTGAAAACAGCCTGCTAATCCCTTTTCCAAGCTCTTCTAAATATTCCAGTTCAGGTGGTTCAGAATAGGATGATCAAATACTAAAAAAAAAACCAATCAGAAATTCAGAAATAACAGAAATAAAGGCATTTCCTGGTGAACTGTGGAAGGCAGATTAAGTTTCAGTTGGCCCCTTGTTCTGCTTATCTAACAGTATTTTATTCAAAAGAATCAAGAGTACAGTTGAGGACGGAGTGGATCAAGCAATGTGTTTGATTGCTGGAGTACATAACCCACTATCAGTTTCTCACACCTACATTATTCCCAAATTGCACTATGCAAAACTTTCTTAAATGTTTCTGTTCTCTTACCTCTCAAATTCCTTACCCTCAGAGATTGCTAAGTAATTAATTATTCTTGGTTTCTTACCAAAAGCAACTAATCCCATTTCCTGGGATGCTTAAATATTTCTAAAATGCCTACATTTTTTAATATACAACATATTACAATAAAGATATGCTGCATTTTGGATGAATGTTCTTCTTTTTGTCACACACCAATTATTTACCCTCCTTTAAAGGAATTGCACAGCTGAAGTGCACCCAAGGCACACAAAGTTGTCCTCAGACCTTCGCAGCTGTGATGATTTTAGCATCCTAACAAATATGGCTTTATATATATAATATATATATATAATATAAATAGAGGAAAGTTATCACCACTGACACCTTGCAATGTTCTTCTGTTGCTCTTCCACCCATCAAATATTTCATAGAGACATGTATAGTTTTTATATTTAACCTATCATTTGAATTACGTAGCTAACTAAACTTTTTTAAATGCCCTAAGACCTAATTGTGATTTAGAAACTAATCTGAGAATTTTGCTTTACTGTTGCTGTGTTTCTCAGTCTGCTTTTATGATGGGAAGAGTTCTGAAATGTTGGGATCCAACAGTCACTTCAAATCTTGGTCTTTCTGACACTGAGGGTTGGAATGTTATATTCTAGTATGTAACCAAGCAAATCTAGACTGAGTTCCTGACTCATTTTTAATGTAGCTTGAATATCTCCATGTAATAAATATAATAATTAAGTAAAGCACTAAAGAAAGTAGGAATGAAACAGATGAAAAAAAAAAATCAAGCTGTTTATATTTCAAGATAAAGTTAAAATTTAAGTCAGGCTTTTAATGGCATCAAACTCCAAAGAAGCTTAACAGCAAGAGGCTGCATGCTCTTAAGAACAAAAAACAACACCACTGAATTCAGGGAGACTGTTCAAGTACTTCTGCAACTTCAACCTCCATTTTTCAGGGAAAGAAAGGTAATGGAAGGTAAACAATCATTTTTGATTAATATAGATATAAACATAAAATGTATATAGTCCCTGTTCTTCATGTACAAATTATCTTCTTCCCCCAACCCTTTTTGTTTTCCAAAATAACCACAACCTTTACAAATATTCCCTACCTAAAGTCATTAGAGAGTCTAAGAGAGAAAAAAAAAAAAAAAAAAAAAAGAGGAAAATATAAAGATAAGGAGATATAAAAAAGATGTGTTGGGGCAAGATACTGAGTTTGCAGAAGAAATCCAACTTAAGAGAGTCCTTCTGTTCTTCTCCTGCCAGCCCTTAAGAAACAGCTCAAAGGGAGAAGAGAACTCCATCCTTCCCCCCATCACATATGATGGGAGAAGCAATGACAACACAGCACAGGAAGAAGAGGGGTCAGTAATGATTAGCAGGAAACAAGCAGGATGCTGTAGGGGTACATAAAAATTCCCAAGTTACAGAAACTGCTGCTCCAGTTTCAACTGAAGTATCTGTGGAAGCATGAGACTAATTTAGCCATGCCACAGAATGCAAAACTGTCCTGCTGTTTGTCCACTCCTCCCATCAACTCTGCAGAGGCTTTTGGAGGTCCCAAAGAATCCTGTTTCCACTTTCAGGAATGCATCCCATACTTACTTCCTTCAGGTTACTGATTTCAGTCTCTTGTCTTCTGTTCACTGCCATCAGTTTCTTATTGTGCTGGATGGCTTCCTGCACTTTAAACAGAAGTTAGAGCACGTTAGTAAAGACTTATAGGAAGATTTGATTTATAACTGCAATGTGTGTATATATAATTTACAAAATAACTAAACACCTTCGTGGAAAGGAGACTAAAACTGGAAATATGATTCAATGACTTTTTCTGTGTAGTGTTCAGGTGGTACAAGTTGCTCTGTACCTCAGACAACGAGATAAGACTTTTCTGTATGTTGGTTTGCCTTTTATTTTTTTTAATTTTGATTTCGTTTTTAGTGCAATTTGACGACATTTTATTAAGATCCCTTGTCTGTGAACTTTGAATCCTAGTTTTATTTTTTAGCCAAGGCTTTGCTTATCATTTTCTGATGGCTTTAATAATTTTCAGAGGGACACAGAACATCATGGACCATAATGGTCCCTTCCTGCCCGACTTTCCCACTGGTAAATCCAAGTAGAAACATGGCAAAAAAAGAAGATTTTTTTTTTTTTATCACTCAAATGTAGTAAATACTGAGAGTAATTGTTATTTTTTCCAAGAAATTGCAAAAATACTTTTGTATTTGATATAACAGTAAACCCCTGTCCAGTGTAAATAGGAGCAAAACACAGAAATATTTTTTAATAGTAAATATTAACCTCATTAAAAATGGAAAAAAAAAGTAACTTGAGGTACTGAAATATCACAAATTCAAATAGAATATGTCATCAGTTTATTCTGATTAACTAATTTTTATTATTTCACTAATGGTTTTCATCCATTTTCCAACACTTAAAAAGCATTCATTTCCCCCTATTTGCTGATTCCTTTACTTTCACCCCCTCATTTGAGCTGGTTAAGCTGATTGTGCTGAATGGCAACAGGCAGTTGGTACAAATTAAGCTGCTTTTTTGGAGTTGTCAGGTGTGTCCATCTCAGCGCTGTCAAAACCCAGCAAAATCAAATCCTGGAGGACGTGTGGGACATACAGGACACACTTACCACTGTGCTCCAGTTTTCCATGGACTCCCTTCACGATTCCAAACTGGGATGCGATGGTAACATAACACCTCTCCACTTCGCTCAGTTTCTTCTGATGCTCCTCTTTGGCTGCCGAGTGCATCTGTAATTTCTGATCCTGTCAGGAACAGAAGTGAAGCGAGTAAGGAGCTCTCCAAATGCTTTTGAATGTAACAGCATGAATGCAAAATCATTCCTGGAATATCTCAGTTGTTTATTTCTGTTCCCATTGTCAGAGAGCAGCAAGACCTTCACCTGTGTGTTAGATGATCAAAAATGCACTTTTAAGTATTTTCATCTGTCGCCCCTTATTTAGAGGAACCTTCGTGTAAATGCCTGCAGAACTGTACAAGCAGCTTTCAAATCCTGATCTCAAGTTTTCCCCACGAAAACTTTTTAGGCTACATGGCAATAAACACTCAAACAGGTTTTTTTTTCACCAACAGTAGCACTGTTCATGCTTTGAGCCATCTCCAGAGATGCCTGAGAGCCTCAGCCACCCCAGTTCTGGGATCGTCAGAAGTGCCACAGCCCAAGGACAATTAGAAGACAGTTTGTGTCCTTGACACACCTAAATGAAAGAATGTCAACAGGCTTGCTAAAAATCAGAAGTGCATCAAGCAATTCTATAGTAGTGGTGACTTTGGTTGAGATTAGTGAAACTAATGCAGATTAATAGCCCATGCTTCCTAGGAAAATATAAGTAACATTTTAATGAGTAATTATTAATTCCTCAGTATCAATTAGCAGTTTTAGTATCTTGAAATATGAAGAATTTGCTTTTACTTTAATATTATGTATCTGTAGGGAAGTTTCTAACTAGTTTTGTAAATATCCAACACTTTATTTTAACTTCTACTGACATGTTGGCCTAAGTAAAGTTATACCACAATGAAACCCACATGGTAACTAATTCAAATGTATTTACTGACTTTTACCAAACTCTCATTTTGTGAGGGGCAATTGAAAATACATATTCACAGGAAACTATTCAGTGACACATACCACTGATTTTTTTTTTAAAAGTTATTTGTTATCCTTTCTTTTGTATGTACTAAATTTTTTGTGTTCCTCTTTGGTTTTTTTTTTTTTTTTTTTTTTTTTTTTTTTTTTTTTTTTTTTTTTTTTTTTTTTTTTTGTTAATAGCTTTGTAGGTACCATTTGGTCAGTTTTCAAATTCATTTTGCCTGAAGAGAAGGGGTAAATTAATTCCCCAGAAAGGATAACCATTTTTTCGGATATCTAATCTATTTTTGAATCTATTTCTAATCTACAGGGAAGCAACACAGCAATTAAAATGACTTGGGCCAAATTCACCCCCCGTGTGTAAATTCAGGTTGCACGAGGGTGCATCTGGCCCAGCCTGGTTGGGTTTTGCAAGGCTCCATTTCCACACAGTAACAAATGCAATACATGGCCCAAGCATCAGAGGATAATAAAAGCTGAGAGCAATCAAAAGAAATGACCACCATAAGGCCAGCAAAACAGGATATACAAGACAAATTTCTCATGTTTTATAAGGTATGAAATTAAACACACGGCAGCAAATGGAAAGTCATAATGGAGGCACTGGGAAAGAAACACCACCACTTACAGGATCACTGCAAGGCATGCAGGTTGAGAATGTTCATAACACTTTCTCTTTTCCCTAATCAGAAGTTAACTGTCGAAGAACTGCGCTTAACTAATGCCGGGAGGGGGATTTCATAACAGGGAAATTAAAAGGAAAAATTGTCCTTGTTTTTTTCCTGATAGTCCCTCAGGTGTATTCATTCTAAGAGACCGAGGAACAGGGAGGCATCGCTGATTCGAGACTTGTGGCAAGATCTGAGGGGGTTTGCACTTTTTTAATGTGGATTTTTTTCTTAGTGTAATCCCAATTTATTATAGGATTCCTCTGCTCGCAGTGGAAAGGTCAGAAAACATTTTCCAGAGAAGACAATCAAGAAACACCAGGAGACACTGCAGGATAGGGAGGGCATGACCCTGGAGCTGGAGCAAGACCCACAGAATCTTGGTTCCTCTTCCCAACGTCCGATACTGCGAGAACAGGAATTATTGCCCTGCCCTCCACTGGTAATAAAGATAAGCTGGGCTGGGGAGTGGAATTGATTGTGGCCATATGGTTTGTGGAGGCACAATGATTTCTTGGTGGAACCAGACCAGAGAAATAGCTCAGGGTCAAGTAGGTGACTGGAGGAACACAAAGAGGGAATTGCTCATATCTCCAAGATATTCTGGAAATGGAGTCACTAGCCAGAGGTACTCAGTGAAGCAGAAGGTGGTAATTGGGAGGTGAAAGTGTCAGAGAAACAAAGGAGATGTGGTGGCATGGAGACCTAAGGCAAGATCATGTGAAAATTATGCAAAGGGTTACCAATTATAAATCTTAGAAAGAGGATTTTTTTTTTCACAATAGTTCCTTTAGTTCCTGCCATTTTTCTACTTAACAATAGTTTATACTATATCACTGCCTTCTCCCTGTGTTTTTAAACAACACAGTGTGATTACAGGCAAACTCCTAAAAACGCAGGAAGGAAATAAAAATAACATTCCTATCATAGATTATTAAGAACAAACTGTCTTTTAAAGTTTCCTATACTTACTACATTCATGTATTCACATATTTTATACATTTTGCAGTAATTACTTCATCATTCATTTGGCAATTTATTAGAAAACTAAATGGTGGCAGGGAAGCTCTCAGGAAATGCCAGTATTGTTGTTAAAATATCCCTGATGCACACTGGCCTATACCAGGTAGGAATCATAGAAGCAGATCCTGGGCAGAGTTCAGGAACTCTCTGCTGGGAAAAATGTGGATCCAGCTTCCCTCTTTTCTGAAGAGTTTATCCAGCCTAGACCATTTCATTGCAGCTTCACTAAATGCTTTCACACACATTTAGTTTACCAATACTAACACAGTCAGCAAGTGAAACTGGACTGGTTACCAGTCTTGCACAGAGGCACTCACCAACTCCAAAGCACTACAACATATATATAGATAGATATATGTATATGTGTATATATTTAGGATTTAGGTACTGTAGAAGACAAACAGCTCCCAGTGCTCACTCTCTCAGACGGGCCCAGGATCAGCCAAGGAGAGTCCGTGAGGGAAGACAAACAGATGCTCCACACAGAGAATTCTGGCATTCTACAGCGTGTCACCTGCCAGGTGACCAAAACCTGACCGCAGCCACTTCTGTCCAGTGATGATTTCAGCAGCAATTAAAGAATGCAGTACAAAGCCCACACTCAAGTGTACTCTATCAAGAGAACTGGTTTTGCAGTAACCACTCCATAGCCTTCTGACTGCCCAAGCAGTGAGGTGCAAAGCAACTACACAGCAGGCAGTAATCAGCACTTTCCTTGTGGAAATAACAAAAAGATGGGTGAAAAAAGAAGTCCTTTATTTCTTTGTCTCTCCAGTATGAAACCAGAACTTGCACTGTTTCAAAACCGTAGCGTGTTATGGTAAGATTTATACCAGCACTAAATTTTCACATAAACCTCAGTGGCTAGCACGCTGAAATATGGTGTGTATGTGAGGTGCTAACATTGCTTATACTGGACTAGAAGAGGAGAATTAAAGGAACCAAACCAGAATGAAGTGCTCCATCAGCAAGGCACGCTCAGTCCCCGGCAGGCACAGAAGCTCCTTCACTGCCTGGCAGGGTTTGGAAGGTGCCAGCTATAAACTGAACAGCACCTCTGCTTGCTCTCAAAACACAAGCCTGGGGCGTGATCTAATCTGTCTTTAACAAACCTAAAATTGAAATAAATGAAATAAATTGAAATAAACCTCAAATAAATGAATGGTTTGGAATTTCATGCAGTGCTACTTTTAAACACTCTTGCCATTTGTGATGACCAAGAGTCCACAGGGGCACCTACTGCTTGGATGCCTTGCATGTACCATTTAATTGTATCAAAGGTGTAGAGTACCCCAGTGATCAATTCCTGAGGAGTTTCCAAACCTAAGAAAGGAAGATATTTGTATAAGCAACATAGATGCATTTCCAGCTTATAGAAGAGGTGTTGTCATTTAAATATTCTCACTCGTGTGGAAGACAGAGCTTATAAGTTATATTAAAAAAAAAAAAGATAATATGTGAAATGACCTAAATGTAAGCCCGATAATTTTGTAAAATTTTAACACGTTTTTAGGTCAGATGCATTTTAAGAACAAATACAAGTTAAAAGTGAAGTAAGACAAAACACATTTTCTGCTGCCTTTGATCTTTAACTTGTAGCCTTATCTCCCAGGTCAGAGGGCACATTATTCAATTTCCCCATATTTTGTGTAAAACCACTGTAGCGTTGAGGATGACTTTCAGTACAAATGTCATGGTACTTAAAGCTAAACTGGACTCTAGTTTTTTTTTGAGCTTCTTAATTAAAATCACAGTTTGTAATGGTCTGACAATATTATCTTTATTCTTTCCAGTTGAGCAGCAGCAGGATTTTCACAGCATTTATTCAATCAAGCCTGGCCATGATTCTGCAGCTCACTCTTTCACTTCCTAAAGCAGACAACAGGGTTCAGAGCGACTCTGCTGTCACTCTGTATGAATTTATTCTCTGTGTCAAAGGGAGTGAGCTGGGCTGGATGAAATCTAAACTGTTCAGGGGAACTGATGTTAAGAAGCAATTCTGAGAAGATGAGTAAAAAAAGAGTAAAAGGAAAAAGAGCATTTTTTTCTTAAGAAAACCCTAAGAACTGCTTGGAACTACCTATTACTTTTTCAGATTAATATGCTAGATCTTATCAGAAATATAATTATATTATTCGAATCACAGTTTACAAAAAAAACCTTTAATCTATAAAGAGAACAAATGTATCTATTCTACTTTAATGCAATGAGGAAAAGTGCCACACGCTAAGCAGTAGTTATCACACTACAAAAACCTAAAAACATTGCATTTGTAAGTTCTTCACATTTGAAGCTGATGCACCTCTTTGCATCATTTGTAATAATTATCACCCATCATTTAAGTATTAAGGTTGGTCAGTACTGAGTTATGCTCTAAGCAGACATCCTCTTCACCTAAAAGCTCTTCCTTATTTTCCAACTTTTATTCATTTCTTACCATCTCGTTCAGTTTCTTTTGTAAAGTGTATTTTGAAATCTGTAAAACAAGAGAGTTATTTAATGAATTGTACTCCCATTTGGTCTGACAACAACCTGCATATTTAGGTATTGTTATAACTAACATTCGATTGCATTTGTTGCCAATCCAGCCACCACAGTAACACCAGTTTTGAAAACTGGTATCACTAGTTTTTTAGTGAATCTAATAATAGTGGCATCATCAATGCAAAACTAGTATTACTAGATGACACTATTATTAGATTCACTTTGCATAATTACTTCACATAATTTCGCTTCAATATTAAATTATGTAAAACCACTTTACACTGATTTTTTTTTTACTAGAGGAGTTCTGAAAAAAATGCATAAAACCTTGTGTTGTCTGACAGGAAAAAAACTAAAGTGGAAATGGACCAAAGCTGGTAAACTAGAGTCTTAGAGAGAAGAAAATAGAGATAGTAACTCAAGTATTCCCTCAGCTCCTACAGGAATATATGTCTGTTACCTGCTGGAAAAAAAAAGCCCCAAACCATGTAGTTAGGTATTCTGAATGGTAGCATATAAAGACATATTGTATCAATCTCATGTGCTTTAATAATATACAGCTGCCATCAGAAGCCTTTAACACTATTTTAATACACCACTGACAGAGTATTTTGATTTGAACAACACTAAACTAAACCCCAAACACCTGCATACCGAAAAAAAAAAAAAAAAAAGCTATTTAACACAAATAATAGCTTACCTGTAATGCTTTTAATGTTTCTTTCAGTCCATCGATTTCTTTTTCTTTTGTTTCTACAGCAAGTTGGTATTTTCCCTTTCAACAAAATTGCACGTCAGGATTTGGGTGGAATAAATGCATTTACATTAAGAATTCATCAAAAAGAACGTTACAAAAATGAAGTGTTTGCTATGAGAGAACAAGTTACTGGTGAAAAATTCAGCTGAATAATCTTAAACTGTAGAAATATATTGGTATACAAAGAAAAGTGAAAACACAACAGCATATTTTCACCACTTATGACCATATTTAGTGAGTCTTAAATTTTTCTTTTCTTGGAGAGGCAAGTCTGACAAAGGGAGAACTAATAAGTTATTTTCTTTTAGAACAAAGACACTAAATATATATATAAAAAAAAGTTTCAGGTAAATCCATGTTCTTATCTGCTGTAGAAAAGTCTTCACAGAAACAACTTCCCAAACCACAAAGACTAAACTGTAATCTGCTGTCAATAGAATTAATAAGTACAGTTCATGCATAAGATGAGCAGGTGAACAAAGTCAAAGGGGGTGTTTGTGGGCAAACAGAATGTCTTGGTTAAGAAGAAACTCCAAATACAACCAAGAAAATGACTCCACCAAAAATATAAAAGCAGCAAACAGTAAAGTTTACTTTGATTTGCTTTCCAAGCATTTCACCAGTTTGAAAATTTCCGTGCAAGGTGCTATGGAATGTGCAGATACTCATCTATCTGCTCGTAACTGTTGGGAAATTTAAGTGGAACAACAGAATCCACACACATCCATTCCTTGACTTCACTCTTTGAAACAGGCTCCTGGCACTGTGCAAATCCCTCATTCAGAGGAGGAAACAGGTGCTCAGCTGGGTATAAAAACTCGTGTAGTTCAGAAAAATCAAACAATTTCAGGGTTAAGTACATCTTGCTTCAGTTTAGTTCAAGTTTCTTATGAAACCAGCTCAGCTAAATCAAGAAAAACCCTATGAAAATCTGGTTTCCCTAAACCAGATACAAATGTTCTTTTTCACTCGTACTTGGAAAGGCTAAAGACAGTTTACCCCAAATCTTAATGAAGTAAATTTTATATAGCTTCAATAGAGAAATATCAAAGAACACTTCCCCCCACTGATTTTTAGCACAAAGTGACATTTCAGAAGTAAACAAAACCAAACAAAAAAAAATTTCAAACCAGAAGTACATTTCTTTTGCAAAAGCCATAGCAAGAAAAATAACTTAATTGCAATTGGCTTGGTTTAGACTTGTTTGATAAGTTGGATGGCATTATTGTTTGCTTATGCACTTCTCTGGATGACAAATAACAAAATAGTTACAGAGTACCTTTTCTTCTTCCATGGCAAACATCCTTGCCTGCAGCTTGGTTGGCAGTGGCACGGAAAAAAAGAAAAAAGAGACAAACAAAAAAAAGTCAATACAACACATGACATTAATTTTATTCATGCAGCTTGATAAGACAATATAGTTATATTATCCTGCATAGTGGAATCCCTGCTTTTTTTTAGACTATAATCATAAGCAGAGATCTGTGAATCTCAAATTATTTTTTCAAGACAAAAAACCTAATTGCTTGCCAATTTCTTTTTTTGTGTGACAGGATTGTGATGCAGCATTGGTGATAAATTCTTCATCACCATGTGCAACAGTTCCAGTTCCTCTGACAGTTCTCTGCAAGGTGTTTCAGCACTTATATAATAAATTATATGTATAATTATATGTATAGTATATATTAGAGAGAGGCTAAAATGCGAGACTGACAAATGTTGGGTAGAGTAAGTTCCTGTGGCAGATCTTTTATGGTGGTTTATGAATCTACCCTTGCAGAGGTCAGGCCATCTTAGAGGGGAAAACAAACTAACAAAACAAAACAAAACAAAAACACCACAGAACAAGGAAATTATTAAAAGAAGCATTTTCTTCTTTAGGAGTTTTTGGGAAAAAAAAAAGAAAAACGCCAGGAGGAGTGGCTTACTGGGAAGACCTGTCAAAATACAATCATTACACTGTGTCCAGAAAAAAGAAATGTAAGAGCTGTGTATTCTAACATTTTATATGCAACAGGAAAATATTTTCATACCAACTGGCAGCTTGCCATGATGCCACCATGCTTTAAGAATCTCCCAGTCAAACCTAGAAGGCTTTCTTTTGCTACCTGTTTTTTAAAAGCTGCCATAGCTTCTTTGTTCTGTTGCTGCAACGTATCTGTCTGGTGCTGCAGAGTTTCCTGATCATGAGAAATAACAATAGTGTGACTGAAGTAGTGTCTTACAGCAAATACAGTGTTTCAAGAAAAAAATCTGATCCCTTGCTAAATATTTTTAGAAAGGCATGGCAGATTAAAAACCCCCGAGGACTAAAAAAGAGGCATTTGTTAACTGATAATCATGTCTTGGGTAGCAGCTTCTCTTTAATTCTTAACAGGTAACAGTTCTCACCTCTGGAACACAGACCTGTTGCTGAGGTTTCTTGCAAGCAACTCCTTCCCCATCCCATCACCAACCTGCAGATGTAATCCACTTCCACTGCCATCTTAACACAGCATCTGGACACTGTCCCAGGTATTTAGCATAGAATTTTAATACCCATTAAAAAGTATAACCTCGTTTAAAATAACAATCCGTTATTCTGCTTTTAGTTAAATTTTGGTCACTTAACAAGCCACAAGAAAGAGCTGAGGGAGGGCAGAAAAGACTAAATGTGAGGCAATAGTATAAATTTTTTATCATCCTCCTGCCTGGCTTTACTCTTACCCATAAAAACCAAGAAAATGAGTTAAGATGTACTCTTTTTTTCGTTATTATTTCATATCATGATCTTGTGGATTATTACCACACTCTGCAAGTTAGAAATCTCAAACATCTTTAGGCATCGTGGCTCCTGATAACTGCACCTTCACCAAGGAAGGCACATATGGAAGATCAAGTTTTTTAAGTTCTAGACATGAAAATGTATCAGGTAAAGGAGGTAAAAAAGCTGTCCTTGAACACCTGTCTCAAAATATAGATGAGTTGAGGTAAGATGTGTTAGTGTGAAGTAGGAAACAAATAGAGACTATTAAAAAGAATGAACGGGAGAAAATAAATTGATCATTTGTTTCACACACACGGAGTCTAATTTCTTCTTCTGCTTTAATTGATAAACTGAGAGTTTTTTAAACAAAAAGCCCATTCCAAAATTGCTTTTCTGCAGCAAATTGGTGTTGCTTTCACGTTGTACAAGTGAGAGTTGTTGGCCTTTGATACAAGAGCAGAATCCGTGGGGATTTACAGTCAGGTACTTACTCATGAACTCACTGTAAGACAAGTACAGAAAGTTTTGATCTGCATCTAACAAACAACACATACCACATGAATGAATATTCCAAAACATGAAAACTGAAGTCTTGAGAAAGGTTTTCCTCAGGTTGGCCCTTAGACTGTGTTCAAAGGTGGGTTCTCCAAGGGGGTAACAGGCAAGCACAATAAGAGAGCCAGAAGCAGGGACAGCAAAGCCAATGCTCTCAGTGGACTCTTCCCACCCACCACAGGAATAAAATTTTATCTCCACAGTGTTGCCAAATTAAGATCACACTACTTTAAATAACAGGAATTCAAGTTGATATCATTTAGTAATTTATGTAGATATAGGTTTGGTTTCATAAAACAGTCATCCTTTATATAATTTTGTATCAGATGTAATGAAAAAAAAAACATTACTGAAGTCTTTATAACATACCACTTCCTTGTACTGTATATTCAAGTGATGTATTTTACTCTAAAAAAGAGACAGGGGAGTGTCTACAAATATTAATTTCCTAACAAGCCTCACAGGCAAGACTATCAAAGAAAATCATTATAGATAACTCTCCGAGAAATTCAGTTTTGGAATATATTTCCCACATATGGCATGTAGGTGTGGTGCAGGGAGATCGAAGAACAAAGCTATTTTAAAAAATAAAGGCAAAAGCAGCTTTGATACAGTGATGTTATAGCAAGTACAATGGGTATGCTCATTATATGTAAAGCAGTATTTTCTCCAGTTATTCTGTTTTCCCTCCTCTAACATATTTTTTCAAGAGCAGCAACAGTATTCATAAAATCTTGGCAAATATTTGCTTTAAAATTGTAATATTAAACCAGAAACTTAGCTGAAGTCATGTCTTTATTATAAACTAATTTGTTAAAATTAAGGTAAAATAAAATGAGCGACAGAAATGTTGACTGAAGGGGAAATCTGGGAAGGAAAAAAACCATAATGGAATCTTGGATAAGGCAGGGGAAGCTGAGGTCAGTATGATTCTGCATTCAGAAACCATCACCACTAATTCAATTCAAATTGCCACACCTGGAACTGTCACCTTACTGCAATCTCCAGGAAAGTTGTATGAACTTGTTCCTTTGAAGTTCCAAACATGTGCTGACATGAAGTTGCCCAAAATCTACAGCCTTGGCAGGTGTCAATGGGCAGGAAGAAAAGAGAGTTTACCCAAAACTACCTGTGGGTCCCACCTCCTTACTGATGGTAAATTGCTGTTGAAGGTCTCAGAATGGGTGGAAATCACCCCCTTTGAACCCAGATTATTAAGAACTGCAGTGCTAGGTTAAGAGAAGCAAAGAAGGGTTACGAATTGAAAGCACTGCTGCTTTTACAAATATAAAACGTTTCCTGTTTCTGTGTGCACATATATATCTTCCAGGAAAGAAAAGCACATAGTTAGGATTATTAATTTAAGACTGTTAGGATGAACTCCATGATGAAATAGTCTTCCTTCACTGCTAAGATGTTAAAAATCCCAAGATCAAGGATAGAGTTGGAATTATTGTTTTTTCTGTGATCATAAAACATAGAGAGTGAAGCCTTTTATCCTGTGCCCCAGTGACAGGGGTCATAGGTTTGATTGTGTTAGAGAAGGGAATGGATTTCCTAGGAAAGCATAACCTCAGGAGCCCGAACTGCAAGAGGAATGTTAGACTTCTGTTCCTGAAAACTTCGTTCTGACTGTTTAAAAGCCGAAAGAAAAGTTCTTGTTTAAAATAATTTTCTTTTTTTCGGAAAAATTGTCACTTCCAGAACACTGCAAGGGAAGTTGCTTGTTGTGTTTATACTTGCCAAAGGCCAGCACGACACAGAGAAGCTGCTGCACAGCTTCCCCCACACTAATAGAAATAACAACACCCTTCAAAAGAGGAATGGTACCAAACCACAATTTATGTTAATATATTAAAATGAAATCTCTGCAGGTAAAGTGCTAACAGCATGTAGGAAAGTTACCTTCTGCCATTCAAGTTCCTGTTTCTCCACAACGATTTTGTTTATTTGATCTTCATAATTAGTCTCCGTTTCCTGGTTAAAAAACAAACGAAGGAATTTATGTAAAACAGTACCTGCAAATCAAACACCAGCATAAGTTGTGTATTCATATTTCTTCTTCCTTTACAGTCCAGTACAAACAATACACAGGATGTGTCTGCACAGCACACAGATGAGAAGGAAACACAAGCCCACTGGATGTGGCAAAATAGCAGATGAGTTCAGCTGGTTGGGTCAGAAAATTTGCAGAATGAATAACTTGGATGGAAATGCATAGAAGAAGGTTAGGAGCTGGGATTGCAGCTCTCTTCATCAGCATATTCTCTTTTGCATCTTACAACACAACCAGACTCAAAGTGAATAAACCAGATTGACTTCACCGTTGAAAAATGATTCTGATTAAGAGAGTCAAAACAAGGAGATGAAGGGAAATTCAGCAAGCTACAAAAATGCTCTGTGGATCCATGGTGGTCAATGATACAGATAATCATGGTTAATGACTCAGAATCTTTGGAACATCTCAAATATCCCACTCAGAGCATTTGAATCTTTATGCTCTTTGACATCTCCTAGGACAAGTGCAAAGTTTGTGTCAGCAATCACTGCTGTTACTACTGAAAAAGCGAAATGTTTACCACGACCTTCTGTGCCGAGAAGCCTCCAGACCTACCAAATAAAAGAAGTTAAATGGAATCGTGCATAATAAACACATTTTTGATAAGGTGAGCTACCAGAAATATAATACTAAAAAAAAAAATAAAATAAAGGAAGAGCAGGTTCCCCCTGTGGGAACAGTCATGACTTCTTGCAAGAACAGTATTGAGGCTTTTGATGCCTGTCATGAGCAATTCACCACCGGCCTTTTATTGCATGCAGTCAAAATAATGAATGTACCTAGGGAGCTACACTAATGTGTCCCTCTGAGCTCCAAAAGGCAGATTTCCTGCCTTTTCTCTGCACGCTGATGATCGGCTTGGAAAAAGGGACCACATTAAGGTGAGGCTGACTCGTCTTTGATGAATTGTTGCACTAATAACATTCACTGAGGTCTTGTGTTGGCCACACTCCAGCCAGGGCCAAACTGACTGTGTGAGGATAAAAGAAGGTTCCCAACACTTGAACTGTGTATTTTGATGCACAGTTTGGACACGTGCACATTTATGCTCTTTTGAGTTCAGCTTCCCCACAAGAGTTTAAAACCTGCAGTGTAAATTGAGGAATAAATCAGAACCCTTGAAATGACTCACGCCTCGAGAAGTGGTTATAATCTTTAGGAAAACAGTGACATCTCAGAAAAAAAAATAAATAAAATTGATTTTTCTTGTAAAAAAATTAAAAGCAGGACTCAAAAAGGTTGTTGTCTTGAAACTGGGGTTTAAGTAAAATTCTACTGAATTGCAGTACCATGAGCAACTCTTACTTACCAGGAGGAAAAGAAATGCCCTCTGGATGAAGTAATACATTTCCTGACACACTGAAAGAACAAAGTGAGGCTCTTCCTCCTTCCACAGTGAAGCAAATAATACAAATGTCTGGGCTATCAAGTGTGCTGCATCTTTAAGAAATGCAGTTCTTTCCTCAACCCAGTACAAATGAAGTTTCCAAGTTTTTGATTGAAGGATATTTAAACACTTCAACAATTTGGTGCAAACCAGCTCTAAAGAAGATTTTGCGACACTTTCCACTTGGTATAATATTTGATTCTTAGTCCCATTCTACTATCAATAGAAAATGAAATGGCAAAATACATCCCAAGGTGATTTAAAATTGGTTTTGGACGCCTTTTATAGGGTTTAGGGTCAAAACTTCCTTGATTAACAGACAGTTTACAGGCACATGTGTGGATGGAAACACACTTCTATCCACAGGAGGCTATTCCTGAGCATTTCAAGAGAGACTATAGATGGAGAAGAGACTTAAAGACTTCATGTGCTTTAGGGTGAAAAAAATAAAAATTAAGAGAACTTGAAAGATTATCAATGCTTCCCAGTTCTGCCCTAACAAACAGTACTTCAGATTTGCAGTGACTTTGTTTTCTGATACTAATCTACGAGTACTGAAGGAAAATACATCCCCCTAATTTCCCTGGAGTGTTCAAACCAAACAAGTTTGACTTAGAGCTTCTTATAAAGGTGTAATCTTAAACCATTTATGTCATCAAGCAACAAATGCTATCAAAATGATATATTATTAGAAAAAGTCTTGCCCAAAATTGTAAGAAACTGGCATTAAATTCGAAGCCCTTTTTCTGGGAATACTAAACAGGATAAGAACCAAAGTTCGAAGTGAACAACACTCCTCCAGCTTTACTCCCAGATTATAAAGGAAAATCTGGAAACTATCAGAAATGTGAATGTATGTAACTACCGCTGAAAAAAAATAAACATCATAAATACTTTAACTGAGAATGCCAATTACATGATGAAAAGTTCTCACGTGAAATCGCCAACAGTTATAAGCCTTATCCATCATTTTTACATCTTTCAAAGGACACTTGCAGTTTACCCATTTTGAATTGTAAGCTTTTAAAACTTTTTTTTAATATATTTTTTTAGAAGTTCTATCAGCTGTTTAATAAGACAAAAAGATTTCTGTTATACTTAGGAGAACAATGTTGTATATAACTCTGGTGAGGTATCAAAAACCCACAGAGCCTTAGAAGTGCTCATTTTTTATGAGGCGCCTTAGGACTACATGGATTTAAGTGTTTTTATTAAAAAAGACTACCATAACAATAAAAGAGGAGTAATTTGCTGGTTTATTTACTTGTTATAACCTTTAGAAAGTGTCAAGCCTTCTTTAAAGTGTTTGCTTCAGGCTGTGGTTTTACAAGATGGGCTGTGGATTGGTCAGAGCCCCCTCGATTCCTGACCCTGAACAGATTTAGGAACAGAGTGCAGCTGGCTCATGTCCAAGCAGCCAAAACTGCTGCTAGGTACTTTTATTATCTTTTTCAAACTCCCAATCTACCTCCTACAAAATTGCACAGCCAATTCTCATGCAGGTCAATCAAATACTGCTCACTGAAACTGCAGTTTCCGATGGTTTCATGCCGTAATTAAAATTCCCTTCATGAACAAAACAGAGCAGTGTAACTTCCAGTGGACTTCAGGGGTATAATTTTGAAGTTTGGTTTCCAGCACAAATGTTAAAGGGAGAGAAGATATTTATAGCAGCGCTATTCTAACTCTAGTTCCTGATAAAACATTTCTGGATGTTAATAGCTATGAGGGTTCACAAAGAACCGTGGTAACCATATGTTCGGAACCTGTTCTCCCAACTTTCACAAGCAGAGACACAGAAATGTATCCCAACCACCTTTTTCCTTTGGAAATCTTCCCCTGTTCTGTCCTTGACTCCACTGCACAGGCTGCAATTGCTCTGTGTTTAATTTAATCTCATCTATTGGAATATATTCCTAGACATGCATTGCAGTGCTCTTCTCTCCAACTGCAAGTACTCAGCTCCTCATCAAAACCCACATTATTTGTTGACACAGAATCATAATCTAACCTTGTTTCAGTCATTTTGCTAAAAAAATAAATACCTTAATTTACATATAAGCATAAAACCCGGTTATAAAAGCGTTAGGATTTTCTGTTCTGTTGTTGTTTGTGTCGATGGTCTCCCATTTGCCAGCTTTAAGTAACCAGCAAAAACCCCCACATTTCTCTTCTGTGTTACTTTAACATTGTTTCTCCCCCCTTTAGTTTCTTTTTTTCTCTATCCTAGAAGAAAATGAAATCAAACTCTCCGCCATTATTATTGTTAGCAGTTAGAATTGTTCCTTGCAATAAACCCCACTAAAATCATGCACTTTCCTGGTAGCCTCTTTATTTCCAGAAATTCTTTCTGCCTTACTTTCTAAAATAATAATTGTCCTTCTCATGAACAAAACCTTCAAAATATAGTAATAAAATATTTCTTTCTTTTTCTTTTCCTTTTATTGCAAATATTACCCTTGTGAGAAACAGAAGAAAATTCGAGAGCTGGAAATGATGATTCTTAAAAAGCATTTTAGTTAAAAGAGAAGCACTACCAAATTATATCTATGTCATAACTGCCCAAAGAGGAAAGAGTAAAATAAAAAAGAGAAAGAGCCTCAACAGCTGTTTGTTTTCAGGTATGGAAACAGATCACTGACTCTTCTCCTTTGCACCACATGAAACATTATTAAAATTTCACAAATCATCCCTAAAATGTATCTTCCCTGCGTTCAGCTAATCAACATCTGTGGTGCTACCCATGTCCCCAGGGTATTAGAATTCCCTTGATTTCTTGTGTACATGCTTTTCTGGATTAGGATATTTTTTTGGTACCTAGGACAAGGAAGGCAGTAACGCCATTTATCTGCTTTCCTGTCCCTGTAAACATTTTTCTTAGACCTAATGTCAGTTTTCCTACATGGATTATACTTCAGAAAGCATCAAAGACTTCCAATTTAACCTACTACTCCACAGCTTTATGCTGCCAAAATTGATCATATTTATCCCTTGAAGAAAAGGATCATCTCTTCTATCCCAATGAGAGGCACTCTGGTGATTGTGGAGCGAGGCTGACAGGCTTGGAACAAAGTGAATGGGAATATCCAGCACAAAAGAATCCCTGGGTTGATCAGTGTTTGATGAGTGGGAAAGCTAAACTGGAAAAAAAAATAGGACACTGAAACTACTGGAGTGTGAAGTAATCCCTGGGGGGAAAAGGAAAGAGAAATCTAATTTTTTGTAGGTTTTAATTAATACGTATTCATATCATGTCAGTTCATATTGAGAACAAAGGCCCTTATGAACAGCCAAAAAGAATAGAGTGAACCTGCATCGAGTATCAGCATTTAAGCCATTTATTCTTTAGAATAAACATGCACAGCTATCAGTAACTGGGATGTCATCTGCAAGATGGAACAGATGAACAGTCACTTACTGTGAGAAACTCCTCAAATTGGTTTGAGAGCTTAGCTACAGCTATGCATTTAACCGAGAAAAACTACTAAAAAATAGTAAAAACAGTAAAAAAAACCCTACTTTAAAATAGGATGTGATGACATCAAGTAAGGACTGCATCAAGTCTCTCAAAATGTTTTCATATTTGAGAGTTTGATTTTCGTCTGTCCAGCTTCACACAGGTAATTTCATCTCCAAATTTATTGTTATGAATCTGAATTTATACTGCAGCTTAACCAACCACGCCAGGCAGTTTATTAAACTCAAAGCCACACCAGAGTTCCTGCCCTGAAGAGTCTCCCAAGTGACAAGCAGGACCAACAACGGGAAGAAAAACAGAAGCGAGCAGATGTAAAATAATCTCATCTCAGGTCGAGCCACAGGTCAAAGACAAAATTGAGAGTAAAATGCACCCGACTGGCTCTGCTGCCTCCCTCAGGCTGTCAGTCCACTGAACCTCACCAGAAGCTGCCAAAGAAGGGGCAGAAGTAGCCAAAAACCTGCAGAACTGGAACTTTTCCTTCACTTTTCTTGCGGTGCAGGTGACACAGTTTGGGCGTTTCGTTCCTGTCCATGGAAAGATGATTTTGTAGATGGGGGTGGTTCTAGTTTAAAAAATGACAGTGAATGGCACCAGGCATGGCCTTATTATTCTGTAACCCTTGCTTGTTCAACACATTAATGCTTTACATTCCAAACTTCTAAAATACTAAGCAAGCAGCCCTGAATTGATTGTTAAATCAGAACAAAACAAAATGCATCCAGGGATACTTGAAGATTTCAAACTGGGTGTCTGTTAAATGCTTTATCTTCTTTTTACCTAAACAGGTAAAAAAAAAAATATATGTATACCCATGCATACACATGTATATATTTTTAGGGTAAAGGAAAGCACAACTATTTTAGAAACTTAGGGCCAAGACTTAACTGCGGAATTGACTCTTGACATTTGCATCCATTTTGAAACTAAAAAATACCTTTAAGGCAAAAAAAATTACTCACCTTCACAGGGCAACTTCTGTAAAATCACAGTCATGTAATCTCGCAGTATAGCAGTCAACAAAAACAGACAAACAAAACCAAAGCAATCCCCAAAGGTGGGAGTCCACAGCACTCCATAAAGACTGCAGGCTCTGACCAAGTGCATCAAAAATGCGAGGTTAAGTTAAAAATGTAAATGGAATTCAGCTAACAGATCTTATAAGGAAAAGCATACTCCAATTATTAGGAAAAAAAAAAAGTTTAATTAATCAGTCCTTACTTTTTAATGTGAAAATAGTTGGACTGGACTAAACACTACCATTGTAACACAGGTCTGGGGATCAGATCATGGTGGATTTCAACAATACTGCACCAGGAAAGCAGCATCATGCAGCCTTTTTTCTACTTTTTATTTTATGGCAGCCATTCTTCTGTTTATGGCTTTTAAAGAGAGGATTACAGCATTTAACTTAGATCAAAATACGTGTAAATCAAGCGTGTCATCAATACTAATATTTTAAAAGTAATAATACACATATTTTGAACAGGTCAAATTCATCAAACGAAGCAAGACGCACTTCGGGTCTTTCAACAGACCCAACAGCTCAGAAACACTGAGGGGGAAATAAAATTAAATGTTTATATACACGCACAGCTGAAAAAGGAACCAGAGAAAAACACAACTGAAAAATTAAGCCCAGGAAAACACAGCTGCCTTCCCCAGTGCAGAGTCAACCTTGGTACTACAAGATGATGCAACTTATGGTTAGAAAACAAAACACGCCACCCTGAATGCTCAATGCATTGTTTTTGCAGGGATCTAGTTTAATAGTCTAGCAATTTAAAAAGGGGGAAATAAAATCATCACAGTAGCTCTTTGGCCTCTTATGTAATTCTGAAAAGCACAAGTAAATGGACAAAGGCACTAAAAACAGTACAGATTTACCCTCCTAATCCGCAGCTCTTCTATTGCCTCCAACAAACTGGTTTTGAAGTCCAGCAGTCGAATGGAAAGCAACGTCTCTGACGGACCCTGAAGAGCAGAGTCGAGTGCCTGTGCTTTGAAGTCTTCATCCATCCTTCAGACTTGTTTCTGCAAAATTAAGATGTGCATTTCCTCTCCAGCTTATCCGTAAGAGAACGCTCACATGCTTGAGTAAAATTGCCAACTCCAGTCATTATGCAATCAGCAATATTTCCGCTTCAAATTAGCATGCAGTATTGTAAAAAATAAACAAACAAACAGCTTTACGAGTCGTTCACAATACTCCTCTCCTTCTCCCCTTTATTTTTTTGGCTTGGTTTTAATTTTAAGCAGAGACTGTGATGAGCAGAAGGAGGTAGCACAGGCTTTTTTTCCCCCAGATCTACTGCCCTGCACTGGCATGAAGGTGCTGCAATTAATGCACCAGGCCATGACAAAGGAAGTGCCTACCTACAAGATTTCAAAAATCAGTTTTAAAGGAAACCTTCAGACTGGCCTGAAATTCAGAACTTAAGGTAATATTTGTATTCCTCGCTTCTGAATTTTAACAAGAAAACTTTCTGATTCTGCTACTACAAGATCAAGTACCAAAGTACTCTAAGCCAGCTGCGTCGACTGTTGCCAAGCAAGGAGTTGTGCTAACACGAGCCCCAATTGTCTCATGTTTGTTAGAGACATCAGAGGTGATTTATTCATCAAAGCTTTATTTCACATTTTATTCACAATAACGTAACTGCACACGCTTCACCTATACCTCCCAGATGATATACTTTTAATTCTTGAGCCTGAATTTCCAGCAGTCCACCAGAACACAGGCCAGCATCCCTCCCAGAGACACCCCGTGCGTGTCCCTGCAGTAAGAATGACAGAGGTAGGGTTAGAGCCCAGGAGTTATGGCTGACCTGGCTGCTGCCACAGAACCTCCAGGAAAGAATTCCTGCAGGAAGAGCAGAGACCTGGTGAGTGTCACGGGGCCATAACAACTACAAATCAGGGCTCACCAACTTTTTCTGCTGTTGTCTAAATAAACCCCTCGCATAGATCACGTTTAAGCTGCTTGGTGGTGGATTAACAGATGGACTCCCTGCTCAGCTGCCCCAGCACCCAAGTTACTCTGCTGGTGAGACTTTGCTAAAAGCTGACAAATTGGGCTCATTTTAAAACATCTGACCAAAACTGAACTGCTCAGTGTGAAATACAGAAATTCTTCTGTCAGCGTCAAAATGTGTGTGTTTGAAGGACCTCTGAGGAGGCAGCAAATCAAGTCTGAATAAGGAGCGTGTATAAACAAGCACCACGTCAGGCAGCAAATCCGTTGTGTCAATGTGCCAACATGAATCAGGCAATCTGCATACACTTTAGACACGGTTTAGCATGAGGCTGTTTGGTTTATTTATTTATATTTTTTTTTTAAGTAAAACATTAGGATAAAAAAACCCCGCTGCTTATATTTCAGCCAAGGAATTTGGAATTGATGAAGTCAAACTGTCCCAAAAGCTTTTGCAGATATAATGACACAAGCTCA